ATCTTGCAATGCTAAATCAAGACCTTGCTGGACCAAATAGTCTTGAATCGTGCATTGCCACAACATGAAGTCCGTTCTTCCATCAAATAACGGAACTTCAAACTTTAAGGTAGTCATAGTTCCACTCAAGCAGCAATCAACCAATACCAAACAATCCAAATTTGAGGAAACTGGCCTCAAAAATGGAATCAAGACGTCAAAATTAGTCAGAACCAACTTCTCTCCGAAAGTCACCAGCGGGACCCACACGATGACTGGACCTACTGATGTGGCGCTGACTGGATGATGACGTGGCACTCGGACCCACAGACTACTGACGTGGCACTCACAGACCCACCTCTGCTGACTGGACCACCACCTCCTCCTCTGAAGTGGCACTCCCTCTTCTTGCTCCTTGCTCTCTCTCCTTCCTCCCTAGACTGCAACTCTGTAATTAATAATTCTTTTCTGATGTGGAAGATCAGTCAAAGCTGCAACCACAGAGCATACTAAGAATTATAATTACCAGATCACCCGGGCTCTGCACCTTGGCTCCGATACCACTTGTTAGGCCCCCACTCCAAACAAATGGAAAGAAAAAGAAAAAAAAAGAGGACACAATTTTTAACGTGGTTCGGCACCTCAAGACCTACTCCACGACCCCTTCTGGGATAAAATCTCACTAGTAATTTTTGCACGGAAAAATTACAAACCCTCTCCAATATTTGACACTCACAACCTAAAATCTAATACACAATTATATAGATTGAAGGATTGTGTTGTGTGATGGAAGCTTATATCTCCTCTTTATTTATAGGCTCCAATCCCTCCTCAATTTTCCTATCCCACCGATGTAGGACTTTGAAGTAACACTTAACAATAAATAACATTTTGGCTTGGCTGAAAAAGACCCGCGGTTTCTCCCGGATTCAGGTTTTGCGTTAAAACTCGGTATTATCATACCAATCAAATCATCTTTATTCATAATTAATTTAAATTACTTATCACATGTATTGAATGACAAAATTGAAAAAATCAACTACAAAATACATTCTCCTTCATTTTGTCAAAAGTTAAATCAAAAACTCTTTTAAGGATACTTCTCTTCCCCTTTAAAGTCATTGTTCTTATTACTTGTCTTTGCATATTTACATGCATGAATGGTCATTATGAAGTTAAAGACGGATAACAGTTGAAAATGAGGGACTGTGGAAAATGAAGAGTTGCAATGTGAAGGCGGCAGAATTGAGAGTCTTAGAGGCATTAGAATGGAGATTGTGAATGAAGACACGAGAGACATATGATTGTGAGGAGATGCATTGTTGGAATATTGAAATAATATTATTGCTCATTGAATTATGGAGTACATGGTACTCCCTCCGTTTGTAAAAAAGTATTCATCTTTTGACTTTGTGTAAAAATAAGGAAGTATTAAATTGTAGTTAACTTTCAATTTTGCCCTTGATGTGATAGGTAAAAGTAAGATGTGATGGATAAATTATTAGAGATAAAATATGATGTGATAGGTAGGGTATGAAAAAGTAAGGGTAAAAGTGGTTTTTTAATAGAAAGTGGAAGTGTTTTGTTGGAAGTAAAAAAATGAAAGGGGAAGTGTTTTTGAGAACGGAGGGAGTAGAATATATATATATATATATATATATATATATATATATATATATATATATATATATATATATATATATATATATATATATATATATATATATATATATATATATATATAAAAGAGACTCCTAGCATAACCATAAGTAGAGATTAGAAACTAACTAAAATACAACATCTACCATAAATATGAATACTTAATATTATTGTCTAACATTCCTCCTTAAACCGAGTCTGGCTAAAACAAGATGAGAACTAGAACCTTGAACACTAGATGGGAACTAGAAATCCTGAGAAGAGAAAAGTCAATCGTGGAATGGTACCTGGTCAAAGAAAAAGATAAGAGTTTGACGTGCGCAGTAATTGCTAACGTTGTCGAAAAAGAGAGAAGCATGACATGCCAGTAGCTGCTGGCGTCGAAGAAGAAGAAGAAGAAGAAGAGGAAAAAGAAGAAGAAGAAGAGAAATGTCTAATGTGCGCTCACTAACGTCGAAGAGCAGAGAGAAGTCTGACGTGCTCTGATAATTAATGTCCTATTTCTTTTCTCAATTTAGAGCTGAGAATCTTTTATGACTTTCTTGGAGGGGTGATGTGTTGAAGTATTCTTTTTCTTCCTCTAATTTTCCTATTGACTTTTTCTTTGTTTGTGTTGTAGCTATTCTATATAAAAGAAAGAGAAAAGAGATTGATGATTAAAATGTGTAAATTGAGAGAGAAAGTGGTGGAGACAGGGGCGGAGCCAAATGGGAGCAAATGACTACAATTGCAGTCACTCCACTTTGGGTACCCATGTATATATAGTTATATACATACATACACATAGCTTTCAGCTCCTCCATAAACATACACCTTCGTTGCTCTCCACTCTGTCTATCATTTTCAAATAGCCCTTTCAACACACCTGCTATCCATTCTCGGCCAAAGCTACTAATTTTCAGTTGATCGAAGCTTTGAGAGGATTTCCAATTGATTTCATTGATCAAAAAGTTACATTTATGTTATTGCATACCATGTGTTCGAAATAATGCCTACGAGACCTATTTTTATTTAACGTCTCCGACAAAGGCTAAACGGATTGACTTGTCACTTTGTTTGTGCCTTGCACCCACTGGTGTTGGATCCTCGCTCCGCCACTGGGTGGAGAAGAAGATGTTGGTGAGTTCTTGCAATAGCTATCAAAGAAGGAGATATCGAAGAACAAACGTGCCAAATTGGAAGCTTTTGTGTGTAATTTTTGCCGGATTTTCTTAGGGTGACAAAGTTGCAGGGGAACCATATAATGTTGTACAAGAGTGTAATGGTTTTTTTATACCTTGATGATTTGGGAAGTCGAATTGAAAATAAAGGAAGGTGATCGAGAAAATATTGAGTAAAATTTTGGTTAAAGGATGAGGGTGAAGTTGCGCTGCCATCCCGAGTTAAATACCGGTGGCGGCGGTAGAAGCAAAGAATTCATTTTTATGTCACCAGGAGTGGTGGTTTCGATACCGCATATTGAATAATACTCGTAGAATAATTATATGGATACTACTAGAGTCACAAACAACTTAGACACGTACATCACTAACTTACCATTTGTGTATTTAATTTTTTATTTTTAAATTATTTAAAATCATTTTATTTACTTGGAAAAGTACACAAATAATTTAACAAGTTTGTATACTTTCTGTTCAAGTTGTTTGTGACTCTAGCATTATTCTTATCATACTAGTCATTGAATTATGGAGTACATGGGAATACACACACATACATTATTCTCAAGTGGCGATTTCACGACAGATGCTCTGTTCCTAAGTTCCTTCATTGGCCAAAGCTATTGCATGTCGTAACATTTTCTCCTGGCTTAAAAGGAAGAGGGGTCCAGACTGTAGTGTTCTTTTTAGATTGTCTTCGTGTGGTGTAGGCAATTAACCAAGTGGGCAACTCTGTTAGTGCTTTATACTTTGGTTCATTAATTGATGATTGTAAGGCTCTTATGACTACATTTGAGTCTATTTCATTGTCTTTAGTTAGGCGGGTGGAAATCCAAACACGTGCTTGGGATCCTACACCTCCAGGTTTTGTAGTTCCTGTTTTAGTTGAATAATAATAGTTTGTTTTGTTTCAAGAAATGAAAAAAAACTAGCCTTAGCTTACTATAGATTATACATACATGAGGCACTTCCAATAACATTACTTTGCAATGTCAAAGCAATCTCATGGAATGACCACCGAGCTGTAGGATACTTCATTCGTAAAATTTATGATTCTATTCCTTCTAAATTCTTGGTAAACCCCCACCCCGCCGCGTCCCGAACCCACTGCCACCCTCTTGAATGGTATCCCCCAAGTTTAATTTACTTTGAAATCAAAGTTTTGATTCTAAAATTGATTAAACATGGAGGACGCAATTAAAGGGGGTGAGGAGATGGGTTCGGGGCGGGGCGAGAGGAAGTTTACCGAGAATTAAAAAGAGTAAGAATTACTCCGTATTAATTTTAGGGACTAATCATCGTATAGTCATCTGGTCATCCCATTACACTCCTAAGGAATGTCATGATAACTTAGGCCAAATAGCTCCGGTGCCCCCCGTGGTTTGGAAAATTGGCACTAAAACCCACTCTGTTTTCAAAACTTATTTCTAAAGTCCCCGTGGTTTCAAAACGTTGCACCCACACCCCCTCTAATCATTTTCCGGCGAAGAGGGGGCATTGGCGCATAATTTCTAAACCATAGGGGGCATTCGTGCTCATTTCTTATTTTAGTTTATTATTTGTGTTTTCCCTTTTTTTAAATATTTTGTGTATCTCTTTTTCCTTTTCCTATATTTTTTTTAAAAATATATTTTCAATTTTTATAATGTTTTAAAAATTTTAAAATTCTTTGTGTTTGAAATAAAAATAAAAATAAAAAATTAACATACATTACATCTATCTCAAATTAAAAAATTTCACTTTTTTTAAGAATATTTTTTTGGAAAGTTCAAAAAAACCCAAAGTAAAAAAAATAAAAATACGGAAAAACGAAGTGAAAAAGTTAAAATACGCAAAAAAAAGTCTTATACAAAAAAAATTCGGACACGCCTAAAAAAGTCTTTAGAATTGAGATGTCTAAAAAAGATATTCATTTTAAATTTTTTCTTATTTTATTCCTCATTTTTTTCAAAGTTCTCAAAAAAAATTTAGAAAATATGCATCAATGTCCCCCTTCTTTGCCGGAAAAATGACCGGAAAATGATCAGAGGGGGCACGGGTGCAACATTTTGAAACCACAAAGACTTTAGAAATAAGTTTTGAAAATAGAGAGATTATTGGTTCATGTTTTGCAAACCACGAGGGGTACCGACGTTATTTGGCTTATAACTTAGGTGCATCTACATTGCTTAACAACAAGTCAACATCTACCGTAAACTGGCGGTCGATCGGAAGTACGGAGTTCTGTTCATTTCTTCCCGAAGGAAACCAAACGACGTCGTTGATCCCTCTCCTGTCTCCCTTCTCTCGCTCCGTCGGTGCCCCTCTCCCCCGCCCAACGCGCTTCCCAATCCTACCCTGTCTCCCTTCATTGTTTCAGATCTCTCTTTCTTCTCTTCCCTCTTTCAGAGTTCTCAGGTTTCCATCTTTGCTGATCGAACGCTGCATATAGACGCTTTCCCGTCACATTTACATCTGTACGCATACCGCACATTGGTGCTGAAGCAATTTCTCGATCGGTGATCTTCTCAAATGCGCGCTACCGGTAGCGTTTACTGATTCGGCTCCCCGATTCATTCACGGCTTCGTAGGGAGGAGATGGCGGCCGTTTCCGGACCTGTGACGCCTGGACAGGTACAGTTTCGAAGCTTTAGTGTAACTCTCACTCCGCGTTCGTATGATTTTGTTGCATTTCGTTCGGAGATTAGGAAATGGTGAGCTCAAATGAAGTTAGCATAAGTTTGATATGACAATTAGATGATGTTAGAAACATAACCTGCAAGTAAATCATGTAAGTTTGTGGACTGTGGCATGGAGTCGATTATCCGGTGTTCAAGTATGTCCTGTGGAAGAAACTCAATCTCTGAATTTCAGAGGACGCCTCAATGTTGGCAGTGGAGTCTTTGTTTTTTTTAATTTAAGAAACTGACTCGGCGAACTGTAATATTGTCTTTTATGATTTGGTTAATATTTTACTGTTTTGGTTTGAACATGTTCATTGATGCACCTTGTGATGTTCTCAGATTCCTGAGCACTAACTGAAAGACTCTTTCAGCTCACATGTTTTCTCAAACCTGGATTATCATTTAAGTAAATAATTCGAGCATATTTCTATTGATTGTTAGGGCTATGAATCTACGGATGCATACTTCATATTTTTCTGAAGTGTAACTTTCTTTTTTTGCTATGCTCTATTCATAACTATATCTCTCTTCTCTTATGTTCTGCTAATGATGGACTCTCTCCGTTCTAAACTATTCGTCCATTTTGTTTTTTTTTACAGGAATTTTGATCATTAATTCAATTAAAAGTGCATTTCATGCTATTTCTACAAATATGTTTTGATAATTTTTTTGTAAGATAAACCTAATGAAATCGTTTTTATTATATTAATATGCAATGCAATTTTTATTTGATTGATAATCAAAGTTCATCTTGTTTGACCTTACTTTGACTGAATACTTTGGATGGAAGAAGTATTATGTTTCTGCCGTGCACACTTGTTTTGTCATGGTAATTTCTCACACTGTTGGCTGATCATGTTTCAGGTGTCGTTTTTGTTTGGAATTATCCCTGTTATCATTGCATGGCTATATGCTGAGTTGCTAGAGTATAAGAAGTTATCGTCACCTTCTAAAGTGTAAGTTTGCTTCTTGAAATTGTGAACTTGTCTCATTAGCTTTATGTGCGAGGGAATTCATCAATAGCATGAGAGATAGAAACATTTTTCTGACATACTAGAAAGTCCCGTTTTTCTTTCTAATTGGCATTGAGGTGTCATGAGATAAGAATCTTCAGTGGCTCACTGCAATGTTAAGTAAATTCATGAGCGATTGACTGGAGCCATGATATTTAGTTAGCATCTGTTCAAGTAGCTGATTTTCAGCTTCTATTTTGACTTTCTAATTCATTGACAATGAGATAGAATTCCAATCTGTAGTGCCTGTTTTTATTTTAAAATTTTAATTCAATGTTTACTTTGAGTTACTAGTGAAATGTCAGATCTAGGAAAGTGTTGAGGTGAAGTGAGGGAAGTAAATGTACAGGTCTATTTACCTATGAAAAGGCTATCTAGTTTGGATACAAATCATGTCTATTATTTTCAAGAAAGAGGATGAATTGAAGGGTAAACTTATGCTTAGTTTTCATTCGTTGATGGAAATATGTGTAATTGGGTACCTACTCTCAGAGTTTAGACTAAAATTACCATTACACTTTTTTATTGTTGGATACTCGGGGCACAGGCATTCAGACTCTATCTTGACTGAATTAGGAAATGAAACAGTCAGGGAAGAGGACCAAATTGTTTTGCTTGAAGGAGGTCTGTCAAAATCTGCATCGTTGAAGGTGCAGAGTACAGATGTTAAAGCAAACTTAATTAGGTAAGATTTTTCTTCTATACATGCCTTAATGAGGGATTCCCTCCTGGCCGGTTGACTTGTATTGATATAAATCATCATTTTTTTGTTTTTTTCTAGGTTTGTCACGATGGATGAGGCATTCTTGCTTGAAAACCGGGCCACTCTGAGAGCAATGTGAGTTGTGAAAATTTGGTTAAGTTACATATAATTTCTACCACATTTTACTTATATTTGACCTTACAATCTTTTTTAGGTCCGAATTTGGGGGCATCCTGTTTTACTTTTACATCTGTGACCGGACAAATATTATTGGTGATTCTACCAAGGTGGTTTTTTAGCCGATGATAACTTTTCTACAATACTTTTATATTTTATATTTTCATTTACTAGGATAAATGTATGACCTATAAACATTATCATCAACAGTTCAACACCTTAATCTTATTATGACCTCTTAATTCTATAACTTCATGCAAATAGCATAATGAAATTGTTATACGCTAGATGTCAGACACTATGCTTCTAGATTTTTATGACTGAATCGAAAATTCTTACTGCCACTATAAAAGTTACATTATTTATACATGCGTATAAAATATAATGAAGTGGGTATGAATTGAGGTATTTGATATTTTCATTTCCATTACATAATTGATATTGCAAGGCCAAGATGCAAATCACGGATCATGACAAAGATGTGTGACTTCTAAGTTTTAATGTAATTGGAAATATGTAGTGCATGAGAAGTTATGATTTTATGGTTTCTCAATTTGGAAAACATGTAGTATGTTTTTTGTAAATTGAAATTAGCCCTTCATTTCACATTATCTGTTCATTCATATTCTTTTTATGGGGCTTTGCGGTTGTACATCAAGAGTAACTAAGAGACATGTTTTCCTTTAATTGATAGTCTTTTCTCCCTAGTTCCTGATTTTAAGCTCTTTATGCCTATTGATTAAAATGGCTAAATTGTTATTATTATGCAAAGATGGCAAAAGTTTATGTTTTTACTTGTTCCATACCAGACTGTGACAGTGGTAATGTTGTGGTTTTCTTTGAACAGCACTATAATCGCGATCTCTTCATCTTCCTGTATCTTCTTCTACTGATAGTTTCAGCAATGACGTCTCTGAAGAAACATCATGACAAGTCATCTTTTTCTGGGAAGTCAATACTCTATCTTAATCGCCATCAAACCGAGGAATGGAAAGGATGGATGCAGGCAAGTCTTTCATGATGTTTTCTTTATCTAGCATATTTGGTTTTTAATAATCAAATAGTTTTGTGCTAAATTTTTTTGGGTGAATGTGGTATGTATTGGGGCTTTTTACTAAAGGGAATTTGTTTTTCTATTTTTGGAGAAAATGAAAACAGAGTTTTTTAAACCTTTTCTGTTTTCCTATCTAGCAACGAAAAAAACATGTTTATCTTTTTCCCCCCCTCTTTTGAATCCAGAGCATCAGCTTATTGTACATGTTTACCTTTTCTCTTTTTTAAGTTTAGGAAACAGAATATTGTTCTCCAATTTTTTAGGTTCTCAAAATCCTTGAAAACATGTTTTCCAAAGCAGAAAGCAGTCTTCTGAATTTAAAACAAATTGTACCAATGACAACTACGATCACATGCGTAGTCTACCGACATGGACCCCTATCACGATTACTTACCTCCCACCGAAATCGTCCTTGCCCCATCCACTGACCCCTCGTGAAGCATGAAACACCATTGCAATCTCCACCACAAACAACTTTTTATATGGTCACCACTATTAACCATTGATATCAATGACTACAAGCAACTATTGCTATTGGCAGTGTTGTCAACCATTGATAGCGCTGGCGAATGTCGCTGCCATCCACTACTTATAACCACCAATGTTGAGATCGTTGACCACCACTACTATTGGCACCCACTGCTAATGATCACTATCACTGAGACACTCAAATGCCATTAGTCGCTGCCATCATCAACCGTACCACCCTACTGCCGTCATTACCTGATTACCATCAACTGCCACAACCATTAACTGCCACTGCTCTCATCCGCCACCACCTATCACTGCAGTCGACCAACACCATCAACTCCACTGCCACCATTGACTGCCGTCACCGTCACCAAGGTATTGACTGCGGCCTTCTACTGCTACCAATTGCCACTGCTGACCCCCCTCATGTGGTCTTGACATTACATGTTATACATTAGAAAATATAAATATATGTTGGTAAATATGCTCTCCAAATTACAGAAAAATAGAAACCAAAGAGTGGAAAACTAGAAAAAAACTAAAAGTGAAAAAAAAGACAACAGAAAATTTAATTAAACATACTTATTATTTTGTGAGATTCTTTCCTTCCCCTTTCCATACTATCTTCTACTCAGTTCTATTCATACTCCAGTTTCTTGATTCATTTGTTTTGCTTGTCAATTTCATTGCAATTTTTCTCCCAATATCTTGTATTCTGCTCATTGACCCGTTGGTTCCAGACTTCCGGAGTAAGGTTTGATGTTATCATTGCATCTTGTTTCATGTTAGTTGGCATTAGTCAGTTGCTTTATACCTGAGAATAATATCAAAATGCATTTCCATTCATTACCTTATTTTTCTTCAGTCTTCACATATTTATTAACTTACTATCTCGCTGCTGGCTGCACTGCTAATACACTATGACATCTCTTGATTGCATCAGGTCCTCTTTTTAATTTATCACTACTTTGCAGCAGTAGAGATATACAATGCAATTCGCGTTTTTATTGCTGCATATGTCTGGATGACTGGATTTGGGAATTTCTCCTACTATTACATTAGAAAAGATTTTAGTGTTGCTCGATTTGCTCAGGTGATGTACAAATTTATTATCTTAAATTTCAAAATATTTTCCTAAAAAAATTCAAAATATTTAATATACATCACTAATATTTGATTTTGTACATTCTATGCAGATGATGTGGCGCTTGAACTTTTTTGTAATATTTTGCTGTGTTGTTCTTAACAATGATTACATGCTTTATTATATTTGCCCAATGCACACTCTTTTCACTCTGATGGTCTATGGGACACTTGGCATTGCTCACAACTATAATGAGATAAGATCAGTGATGGCTGTCAAGCTTCTTATATGTTTTATAGTGGTTTTTATGATTTGGGAGATTCCTGGAGTTTTTGAAATCATATGGAGTCCTTTCGCTCTTATGTTAGGTTGGTAGCTGCCGTGCTGTACTACATTTGTTAATAGATGTGTGTATATGCTTTTTATGCTAGATCAAACTACTATCAATTGACATTTTAATCTCTGTTATGTTAGGGTATACTGATCCTGCAAAGCCAAATCTCCCTCGTCTGCATGAGTGGCAATTCAGATCTGGACTTGATCGCTACATATGGATTATTGGGATGATATATGCCTATTTTCACCCGAATGTATTGCTTACAAAAACTTCTCCTTTACTCTTGCTCATATCTCTTTGTTTTTAATAATTGATCTGCGCAGGAATCAATATTTTAGTTTTTTTTGTAGGTTGAGAAGTGGATGGAGAAATTAGAGGAATTTGAAACTAAGAGGAGACGTACAATCAAGACAGCAATTGTTACAATTTCTTTAATTGTGAGTTTTCATTTATTTAATTGTGAGATGTGATTTCTCTCCGTCTCGAAATCAGTAACATAGCTGTTGCAGCCTAAACTTATTTATTTATTTTTTCCGTTTCCTGTCATCAAGCCATTCTCTACCTTTCTGACTTGTAGGTTGGATATTTGTGGTTTGAATATGTATACAAGCTCGACAAAGTTACCTACAACAAGTATCATCCATATACTTCATGGATTCCTATCACGTGTGTATCTCTCATTTCTATTTTTAGTACTTGTAATCTTTTCAACTCTTTAATCAATTTTTAATCAATGGTTTCTGTTAAAGAATTACTTTGCCATGCTAATATAAATTTCATAGTAGATTTAAGCAAGCTTATTAAGTAAAGTAGGTAAAATGAAGAGAGGGAATGTTAAACCTAATCCTTCCGTCCTAATTTATCTTTCCCATTTTTTTCATTGCATGGGTCATACTATTTCTCTCTCCGCACAAATACCAACCACAGAGTGACACAGTTTACCCTTTTTTGATATCTGTGCTCAGTTCAAGTTGGTATCATTAATTCTGACAGAGGTAGTAATATTTTAGTTAGTAGTGAATGAGATAAGAAAGAAAGAGTAGATAGGTGGTAGACGTATTGGAGAGATTAATGCACACATTTCTTATTTGCCTGTCCCAAATAAACATCACAGTTCTCCAATTTCTTTTTAAGGAAAATAATACGTGGCTCAAAACATTTCATTCATCTAAACAAATTCGAACTGCACTTCTCACTTTTCTACACTTCTTAAACTCTGTGAAGTAATTACACATCCTAGTAATTACACTGTAGTATCCAAACACATCCTAGTAATTACACTGTAGTATCCAAACACATCCTTAAAAGAAAAAGAAATTACTGTTGAGTTTGTTTTGAGATTTCCATTTAAGGAATAGATAATGTTTTAAAGGGACATAAGAACTTAAGGAGTACAATTGTACATAATGCAAAATGATACAACGGAAGGCTCAGTGTTCTACTTCTTATGGTACGTTTTTTCAATTCTTTCCAGTGTTTACATTTGCTTGCGAAACTTCACTCAGGAGCTCCGGAATGTCTCACTCACTTTTCTAGCGTAAGTTTCCTTGACCTATTTTTTAGTTGAGGTGTTAAGCGATGAATCTGTGCACCTTTGCCCATTCATGTTTTATGTGATTTGTCATTTAATGATTGCCAAAGATTCTTATTGTTTTACTTCTCTAATTATGGGTTCTTGTTGATTTAGGTGGCTTGGCAAAATAACCCTGGAAACCTATATTTCCCAGTTCCACATCTGGCTGAGGTGTGTACATTTGAGTGTTGTTTAACCAGTAGTAGTTATTCTTTATATTCCATTATTTGTAAACTGTAAATGTCACTTGTTAGGGTGAATTGAATCTTTTAGCCCTTGTTTGGTTCAAAAGAAGGGAGGGAAAGGGAAGAGAATGCCCTTTTTTTAATCTTTGTTTGGTTCAATTAAAGAGTGAGTAGGAATCGTATCAAAGAAATTATGTGTTTAATATGCTTTTTCTAATTAAAAATATATTAATTCACATGCATAAAACAAATTAACAAACAAATTTGGTTTAAAAAGGTGAAAGAATTTAAGAAAAAAATTAACTCCCCGAAAACCTCTGAAATTGGGAGCGTGACATATGACCAGTTTGGAGGATCTTCCTAGTTCCTCTATTTTTCATCTTTTTTCCAAACTGTCCCCCAACCAAAAACACATTCCCCCAAACAAGCGTTCAGGCTATAAAATCCTAACTTTTAGTGATCTGCTATAGGTTGCAACTCATTGTGTTTCTTTTGTGAAAATTATTTGATCCTATAATAGAGGCTGGACTTCGACGTTCACCTTTTAAAATGTTCGCAACATTCACGCTATCCATCCGTTCTAATTTTGTTTATCCTCACCTAACTTTTCTTGGTCAAAATTGTAAACTTTGACCATGGTATGGGTGAAAAATTTTGAGTTACAATATAAATTTTATATCATTAGATTCATTTTGAAATATAATTTGTAATATCATATTTCATAATATTCATGTATATATAAATGTAGATGTTAATGAAGTGTTGCATTGAAAATTGTGAAAAGTCAATTAAAATGAAAATTTTAGGACAAGTGGAGCATTATAGATATACGACACAATTTTTGTCCATTTTTAACTATTTGATCATCCCACTATTTTAGTCACATTTTATATTTGGAGAAAAATTGTGACGACATTCATTCTCACCATTTCTTCCATTTTCTTACCTTTTAACATCAGTATCAATTACACAAATCTACTTTTTAAATTCTCGTGCCCCTACCATATGCCCAAAAAGTAGTGGGATGGAGTGATGGAGGAGTAGATTGTTTACAAATTTATGCTGCATGTTGTTGTAGCTTTTAAGAAATTGGCCCAACTCCATTAGTAACATGGAGCTGATTATGGCTTTTGTTCACAATCCATAACCATAAAGCCTGACCAAATGCGGCAAGCATAGCATATGGGGGTTATGTTTGGTAGAAATTAGCATGGTTATACATAAAAACAATCATACTTCCTGCTTGAGGAATTTATAGATATTTTAGCATTTATAAAATCAAAACTGATATTGCATTCCTCTCTTCTAACCATCCCTGCTTAGGAAGTGGCCTGATTTAGCCGTGGCAGCTGCCTTCGATTTTGAATAGGTATTCTCAGCCTGACCTCTCCCAGGGCCCACCTATGGGCTTGACTCTAGTCTCCCACCTGCCTAGTGTTTTTTAGGAATTAGAAGACTGCATACAATCAATTAGTGAGTTTGAACATATCTCTCATATATTCAATGCTACAAATTATGCATTCTCTCATTTTGAAATATGTGTGCAGATCAAATATGCCAAATGGACAACCTAAGTGGCTTCTTTGTTTTATACCTGACTATCCTATGCTCAATTTCATGTTGACTACTGCCATTTATGTCTTGGTATGTCAATCCTCTTCACCTTCTTTATTCTTCTCAAAATGAGATCCTATAATTTCTTAATTCCTTCATTGTGCCGTCTCACTTTTTTTGGGTTTGCAGGTATCTTATAGACTTTTTGAACTCACCAACACACTCAAATCAGTTTTCGTACCCACGAGAGACAATAAAAAACTGTTGTACAATTTTGCTGCTGGGGTTGCGATTTCTGCGTGTTTATATTGCACTTCTTTCATTCTTCTTCAAATTCCTCATTAACGAGTAAGTTTCCTTAGGCCAGGCATCAATCATAGCTAGTCAGACAGCCTGATTCTCACACATGATAATTGGGTGGGCCGGCTTGATTTAGGCCAGGTATCAGTTACACCTCGCCCGAGAGGTGGGCCAACCCGGGCCCACCCCGAATAAGGAAAAAAAGTTGCATCTTTCTCTTGCATTTCTTGTTCGTATTTGAAGAATTGACACTTAGAATAATTGTCTTTCTCTATGAGAATGCAGGCCCGATTTGAATGATTTTGAACTTTGAAAGCGTCCCTTGCCCAGCCAGCATATATAGGAAAGACGTGGAAATAGAATTTATTTTTGACGTTGGAAGGAATTGCTTCCAAGGCATATACTCCGTATAATATACACGCAGAGGTTATTGTCGCATAGTCTTTGAAATTTGAAATCGCACGGAGGCAGCTGTTGGAAGTGGAAATATGTTGCAGTTTAGCCAGGAAAGATCTGTATAATTTCTTCCTAAGAATATAATGGCACTATCATAGTTATAGTGTACCACTGTATTGTTTGAATGGAAACCCACGTATCATTTCCTTTTATGTCTCTCATCACACACAATTCACACAAGTAGGGGTGGGATCCTCTGTCCCAATTCGTTTGTGCCCCCCCCATCCCACCACAAATTGGCTGCCATTTGGCAACTTGTGTAAGTCATTCATGCCTCTTCTTTTTTTGGAGTAAACTCCTAAAAAAGAAATCATCCGAGTAAAACATAGAGAAAATATTAAAATAAAAGTTTCATGTTTTTATTTCCTTAATAGAAGTTTTCACTATAGTAATGTGACACTCTACATGTCATTTGATTATATTTATTGGTAATATACTCCATCAGTCCCAATTTAAATTGCATGTTTTAATTTTTGGGCATATTTAAGAAATATAAAAAATAGAGTTGATTTTTCGAAATTGTCATTACTTTTTAGTAGGAGTGATGATGAATGAGAAGATAAAGTGGAGAAGAGAGACTTATTTTAGGGGTAGTTTAGGTATTTTACTCATAAAAGTTTACGATAACAACTAACAGGCAACATATTTTGGAACGGAGAAAAAAGGTAAACATGCAATTTAAAATGGGACAGAGGGAGTACATGGTAACGATTGGTAATTTAAATATATCTTAATTCCTATTTCGAGAAAAAATATTAAACTCTTATTTTGAAAATTTTTACTCTTACATTAATCTTTTTCCTTTCCAAATTTGTTTTTTCTAATAAAATATTTTCTCAAATTGGTTTTTAATAAACAGTAGTTATCAATATTGCTCTTTGCAATTGAAATATATTTCTTAAATAGTCTTCTATAAAAAAATGTCTATTAAATCACAGTTAAACTCTGAATAAGTTCACAAAATAATTCTTTCAAATTAAGTGGGTGGCTATTAAAAAATGAACCCACGTCAAGTTGGCTCATGGATTCTATTTCGGGAAATATTTATTTAGAAATTATTAGTATGGAAAAAAAACTTAATTATAAAAGAATATCTTGAAAATATATTACAGAGTATAAGTTTAGATGATAGAAAATATTAAAATATCTTTTATGTTAAAATGACAGAAAATACATTTTTGATAGAGGACCATTTAGAGAATAAATTTAAATTATAAAGGACCAGACAAGTCATTATTCATTGAACACTAATTTAGAAAAATATCTTATTAGAAAAAACTGTTTTATAAATTCACTTCTTGTTTACAAATTAATATGCCAAACTTCAAAGTTTAAAATACCCAAAAATCCCCTTAAATATTCCTTAGGCATTGATTTTTTTGTTCTTTTTTTCATTTGTTTCAATATTTTTTGTGTCTAAAGAAAGGGGCCACTTGTGATTATTTATGAGAAAAAATCCCAAGCATACCTTTTTTAAATAAAAATGCATGCTATTATTAAAATAAAGAAAGTCTAGTTGGATGGAAGATCCCTCCAACTCACAAACCATACTTTTTTTGTTCCACTTTTTAAATAAGTACTCCATCCATCCCAACTTTGATCAATTTTTTCTCTTCTCGATTATTTTTTGTTTGTTTGTATGTTTTCATTAATTATTTGATAAAATAAAATATTTTTGTCACATCTAATTTTGTAAAATTTTTGAAGTAGTTTTTTTAATATATAAATTTTATTTTTTATCGATATATCAATTTGTAAATGAAACAATTTTGAAAAGACGGATAATTTTGCCTCATAAATTCTAATTTATAATCAAATATGGTACAGATAGAGTAAAAAAGAGATTCTTATATAAGAAGATCCGATCCACAAAAAATGAATATCATGCCCAAAAAAGTTAAAAAACACTCTTGAACTATAGCAAAAAGCAAAGTAAAAAGCATTCCTACTTTTTTTTTACTAAATTCTATAAAAGGTCTCCAGTTATAGTTTGTTTTACATATTTAGTCCTTACATTTCAAATATCAATAATTTACTCCTTAATTATTATATTGTTTTCCACGAATGGTCCTTTGTTAACATTTTCGTTTAAAACATGAATAAAATTGCAAATTCACGCTCCTTTGTCTCCTCAATTAAACTTCCTCTCTCGTCTCGCACTCCTTTTCCAAACTCGCCGCTAAGTTTGAAGTTCTAAACCCAAAACTGAAACGAGCACTTCTCTCTCAACCGTTCATCTTCTTGCTGGAACCCAAAATCGAAACCAATAACTTTCCTGGATGAGTTTTATGGATTAGTCTCAGGAAATTGTAAAGAAAACAAACTTTAAAACTCATCCATGAAGGATACTGGTTTCAATTTTGGATTCCACCAAGAAGACGAACAATTGAGAGAGTAGTGATGATGACATTTTTAATAGAAATGTTAATAAAAAACCATTTGTGGAAAACAATATAATAATTAGAACTAAATTATTGATATTTGATATGTATGGACTAAATATGTAAAATGAACTATAACTGGATATCTTTTATATAATTTACTTTTTTTTAGTTAAGAAAAAGCCAACATAGTACTCCGTGTCTTGTACAGTCAAAGCCATTAGATGGAGAAGTAGAGGGAGGACTACTCCCAGTCTCCACCTCTCTCTTCCACATCATCATTTTGGATCCCATTAGACAACCTCTCCTTTCAGTCCTCCACATCTCTTACATCAAACCATATCTATTTTTCTATAAAAGAAAATGGAAAAGTGTAAAATTATTTTTAGATTTAAAACATGTAAAATTTCTTCAAAAAATAAGTAAATAAAAAATATATTTGAAATTATTTTCCAAAGTTAATTCAACACATCTTTATAAAAAAATAACTAACCCAACAAAAAAAGTCAAGAGCCGCCACAAAAAAAATCTTAAAACATTTAATTAATTTGTTTCCTGTATGTAAATAAATTTGTAATTTATGGTATACAATTTTGTAAATTGATTATGGAAAATTTAGATAGATATGAAAGCTAAGAAGACACATGGCATGATTTGGTTGGCCAATTTCTTCCTCTTGTTCTTCTCCGCGGAGCACTACCTCTCAGTTTTTGTCTGGAAAATCGCGCCGGAGAAGGAGTCCTCCTCCAACTCGTCCGTCTAATGAGAGGAGTACTCCAGTTTTTATAAATCTTTTAATGTAATTTTTAAATATGTAATTTTTATTTTTTAATTATGCACTATTTTTAATTTAAAATGTTTTGATAATAGCTTCAGTAAAATATCATATCGTAGACCGAAACAGTCACTATAAATTTGGATGAAAGATTCCCCGTCTCATAATTAAGTCAATTTTGTACTTCACAAAGTTTCAAAATAATCTTAGAAAGTAAAAAGGTGTTTGGTTTGGATTTTTCTTGAAGGGAAAGAACGTTGCGATATGGAGTATAAACTTTAATTATGAAAAGCCGAAAATGAAAATTCTGGACCGAAAGCACTACGTGAAATTAAAGTACAAAGCATTGCGTTACAGTGAAAATTAATTTAAGAAAATTAATATGTCTGGCATATATCCTTGCAAATTAAAGCCATTTTCTATGGTCTTTTTCAAAAAAAAAAGGAAAAGGAAAAAAAAACAACTTCTATATGGTCAATACTCAATATACTCCGTTTTATTTATTCTACCTACAAAAAAAAGTCACGTTATGCAAAACAACGTTTTCCTAAGGTTAAAAAAACCTTAGCTTAATTGTCAATGAGTAGATATGAGACCAGGGATTTAATATTTTAATTGTCAATATTGATCTAGTATGGAATGCAAAAAAAATGACAGATTTATTGAACTGTATGTAACAACTATTTCACACATAATTTTTTGCATATAAATCCGAACTTAACCAGTTATATAGCGTGGTCACCTATTTACGAGATCTACCCAATGAGTCAAAATTTGAGTAAAAACGCTGATCTTACAAATAGTTTATATTTTCGAGTCAAAAAATAAAATATTATATTCCCTCCGTCCTATAATGTTCTTCCCGTTTCATTTTACGAGGTTTGACCGACTTTATTTTCAATTCAATTTATCTGATTGTAGGTATAAAATTAAAAAAATAAAATTTATATATTTAAAAACTACATCAAAAGTTCTAAAGAGTACAAAACAAGTGGTGACAAGATTATATTATTTTATCAAATACCTAATGAGAATAGGTAAAGAAAGTGATTAAAGTTTGACCGGGTAAAAAGTGAGTGGGAAGAACATTTTAGGACAGAGGGAGTATTGATTTTTCTTAAAGTAACGGCTAACTACTAAGCCGGTTTTAGTGTCGCTCAAGAAAATAATTGTAACTTACAAAAAAAGTAATGAGTTATGGAGTAATTAAATTATGTCCATTTTGTAGAATAATGTTTTGTGCAATTTCACAACTTTTTAAATATTATTTTGGAGAAATCAATTATTAACAGATTCTCTTTTTTGTTTTTTAGTTTTTAATTTTAACTTTAAATGTATATTTCAAAAATGTTTTTATAAATAAGACTCCCTCCGTCCCGCTTAAATCTTTATGTACACTATTCATAGGGTCAAACTTTATAGAGTATATACTTTGTTTCGTTATTTTCATTACTCATTTGAAAATATAATATAACTATGTTATCTCTAATTTTGTAGATATTTTGATATAGTTTTTTAATATATAATTTTTATTTTTTAATTTTATACCTACAATCAAATAAATTGAATTGAAAATAAAGTTGATCAAGTATCATAATGCGGACTGAAAAGATTCAAACAGGATGGAGTGAGTACCAAATGTAAGTATTTTTTTCAAGGGTGACACTAATTATTTGTGAAATTTCACAACTTTTGTAATACGAGTATTATTTTAGAAAAAATAATTATTACCAGATTATCGATTATTGACAAAAATAAACAGTGTCACTTTGGAAAAATGACTTAAACTCGGTACTATTTATAAAAATAATTTTCAAAAAAATTAAATTAAAAATGAAAAAATGAAAAAAATGAGAGTTTACCTAAAA